TTTAGGGTTCTAGGGATTTAGGGTTTTGGGGGTTTTAGGGTTCTGGAAATTTAGGGTTTTAGGGTTCTAGGGATTTAGGGTTTTGTGGGTTTAAGGGTCTAGGAATTTTGGGATTTAGAGTTTTAGGGTTCTAGGGATTTTGGGTTTTGGTGGTTTTAGGGTTCTAGGGATTTAGGGTTTTGGTGGTTTTAGGGTTCTGGGGATTTAGGGTTTTCGGGTTTTAGGGATTTAGGGTTTTTGGGTGTTAAGGGTCTAGGGATTTAGGGTTTTAGGGTTCTAGGGATTTAGGGTTTTGGGGGTTTAAGGGTCTAGGGATTTAGGGATTTAGGGTTTTAGGGTTCTAGGGATTTAGGGTTTAAGGGTTTAGGGATTCAGGGGCGAAGGGGATAGGGTTTTAGGGTTTAAGGATTTGGGGTTTAAGGCTTCAGGGATTTAGGGTTTAAGGGTCTAGGGGTTTAGGGTTAAGTGTTTAAGGGTTAACTGTTTAAGGGTTAAGGGTTTAAGGGTCGAGGAATGCGAGTCTTTGCTTCTTTTCGGCTACAGGGATCTAGGGTTGAAGGGTTTAGGGATTTAGGGTTTAGGGGCTAGGGGATTTAGGGTATAAGGGGTTAAGGGTTTAGGGATTAAGAATTTAGGGTTTTGAGCTTTAGCGTCTAGTGATTTAGTGCTTTAGGGATTTAGGTTTTGAGGGTTAAGGGATTTAGGGTTGAGGACTGCGAGTCTTTGCTTCTGTTCAATGTGTTGTGCCTTGATGTTCGTTCTCTTTCTGACTGCTGCTGCGGCAGTATAGGTGTCGATGTAGCCCTCTTCCTAAGCTTCATTCACCGCTGAAGGCCTTTCAGAATGTCATTTAAGATTGTTTACAAGGCCTGCCTTTCACAGCAAGACATCGGCGAGTCTCGCCTGCCCTTCTGATGATGATGATGATGATGGAGATGGCGTTGCACAACATGGTCAGCGTTAGCACACGCCTTGTAGTTGCGACTGCTTTAGCTGTCTTTTAGGCTGTCAATGCCACAAGAACGACTTCTTGCAACGGGTGCCTTCCCTATGAGATTTAAGAAAAGGGACCATGCTGATCGAGCCTAAAGTTGAAGACATCCGGAATCCCAGCAATAAGTCCTAAAGAGAATCAGGACTGAAGGTACCACCATAGCCCATGTTGGTTAAAGCACCAGTCCTGCAGTTTATTCGGATTCCCTTTCTGGATGTGTGGGATTTTCTGAATAACGGAAAAACCTCTGGTGCCCCAAACAAACATGTCTCAAAGTCACAGGTAAGCCACAGGCCCTCGTGTAGGCTCCTCATACGTTCATTCCCCACTTCTTGTTGTTGTTCTTTCCTTTGATGATCCTACCTTTCTGCTTCAAGTGGGGCAAGCTTCGTTTTTTTTGTATGGCCGAATTAAGGCGCGAACTATCAAAACTTCAAACCTTAAATCGAAAGCCAGCGCGGCCTTCTTTGTCTCGGCATAGACCTCAGCGCAGTACAAAGCATTGGGAGGGCAACAGCAAGGGCTGCAGACGAGGAACGAAAGCTCACAACGCAAGGGCAAGCCTAAGCCCTAAACCAACTTCAAGTAAAGAATGAAGAGAATGGGGCCTGAAAACAACAGGTTTTGGCGCATATAACTTACATGGGGGAAGAATGTTGAGCAGTATTCAGGCTTCTACCGTGTAGGTTCTAGGCTGGTAAACAACCTTATTGATTTGCTATCTGGGACCCCAGACCCTCGCGCTAAACTCTAAACCATGTTGTACCACTGTCTAGGTGGGGGGCCTAACCTAATCTAAACCCTAGACAGCCAACCCGGAACCCGATGAACCTTATTCCTGAAACCTAAACCCTAAACAAACCCAAAACCTATCAAAACCTAAGCCTCAAACCCTAAACAGTAATCGCCTTGAGCAGGGACATGTGAGGCTACCCGGAGCCCGTGGAAAATGGTTTTGTAGGATTTACCCTTGGGGGCTTTAGCATTTAAGGTTTAGGGGTTCAGGTGGCTTGGGCTTTGGGGTTAAAGGGGTTTGGGTGGGTTGGAGGGGGGAGGGGGGGTAGGGCCCAGTTCGTTTGAGGTTTATTTCTTGTTCTAGCTCCCTTTTGGGGTGAAGGCTGGCAAAACACCCTACACACCAGCAAAAGCAACAAACGTTAGAACAATCACATAGCAGCCCGTGGAGAGGGCGTTAGCAAGAATGCCTGTTAAACGCCTGCTGGAACGACGTGCTGATGGCAAGCCAAATCTTAGAGACCAAGGGCACATCTTATCAAAGCTCAAGCCTAGCCTGTACAATTCCGTTAATGTGATCTGCAGCCCTAAGCACTACACCCCCACGGCTGCTCACACGCTAGGTGCAAGCCAGGTGGCGCAGAGGTAAGCGTAGACATATCTGCACCTGGAAAGCAGCGCACTCCAATGGCTAAACCAAAAATAGTTCTATCCCCCCACTTCTTGCAGGCCAACAATTTCACACCCTAATCATATACTTGCCATGTAGACCCTGAATTCTTTGTATCCCAGACTTTGCAGAGCTCTTGAGCCATGTGGAAAGCTATGTCCAAAGGGGTTTTGCTAGAATCTATACTCCCTCTTATCACTTTTTGTTGCTATATGGAGCTACTTGTGCTGTTTAGTTTTTTACAGTTTTTTGCTACCAATATTGCAGTGACTACCATAATGCCTTAAACTTTTTCATGCAGCACTGTGAATATCACAAGTCTAGATACCCATCCCCCATACCGTCACAGGAGCCCGCATATCGTCATTGAAAAAGACACTAGTCTCGGTAGGAACGTTAACCCTCCATGTTGGTGTTTTGGGGGGACGCATGAAGCGAAGTGCTACACTCTGAAGCCAAGCGCAGAACCTAGACTCAGACCCTCAACCCCTGCAACCTAGAGCCTATACGCTACTACTGCCTGAAAAAAACACCCGAAACCCTTAACCCCAAACCCCTAAACCCTAAACGCAGACCAGGCCCTAAACCTAAACCCTGAACAGCCCAGCCCTCTGAGGCTGCAGCATGAATCCTGAGCTTAGCAGTGTTGTGACCCCGAAGGATGTGTCTAGGGTTGAGGGGATTTGCAGAAATTGAGGCTCCAACATCTTAAGGGCTATCGAGTTTATACGGGTTATATGGGCCTCTACAGGGTTTAGGGCTGCAAAAATTCGGGGTCCATACATTTTAGGAATCCCTATCATCGTAGGGTTCATCAGAACAGGGGGATCCCAAACCCTCATAAAGCTTTTAGAACTGCGAATTAAGACCTACTGCCAAGGGGGAGTTTCCCGCTGTTTGGGTTGCTTCATAAGGTAGCAAAAGACAGGTTTAGAGCTTACATGGTTTAGGGTTTCTCATCCACATTGCTAGCCTGTCCAAACTAACCTGGAAGCCCATCATATAGCCTCTTTAAAGAGGACAGCACTTTGAACCCTAAACCCTAAACCCTAAACTCTTCATAGGGCCTGAAGCCCATCATATAGCCTCTTTAAAGAGGACAGTACTTTGAACCCTAAACCCTAAACTCTTCATAGGGCCTGAAGCCTATCATATAGCCTCTTTAAAGAGGACAGCACTTTGAACCCTAAACCCTAAACTCTTCATAGGGCCTTTTTGCAGTTCCAAATTAGCGTTCAAGGAGGGTCTCCCTCTCACGGCAGAACCCCTGCATGCATTTATCTGGGCTGCTGTTAGGGAACATAGATTAATTCACCATAATCGGTATGTATTATAAAATAACTAATATGGTTTCCTTAACATGCCAGGTTTTCAGCACAGTGCGTAGGGGCTTGCGTTTCAAAGTAATATCACCGCCGGCTGCGTTACACGCACGTTGCACGCCACCTGTTCTTAAATGTGAAGCCCTGACAGGCTCATAGCGAGGTGACTCGAAGACTCTGTTTCCCAAAAGGTGCAGGAAGTAGCGATTCTGGCTGCTGTAAGAGTCGCACCCGAGGCCACATTCACCGCGTTGAGCCATAGTCTAAACTCCTAGTATCCCACTTAATAGCCCCTGTAATAATCCCCTACATAATCCCGTATATAACCCCCCTTCAAGGAGATTAGACCCTAAACCCTAAATAATCCCCTATATAACCTATAATCCCGTGTATAACCCCCTTAAGGAGATTACACTCTCGCCAATTTTGATTAAAGCTGCAAGCTGGGGGCAAGTAAGGGCGCGGAACAGGCTCCAATCCAGATTTGCTCATGCCAAGGGCTCAAAACTGGATGGTTCTCAACCGTCATATGATAATAATAGTGATAGTAGTAATAATGGCAATAATAATGGTAATAGTACCAGAACTCATAGTATTGATCGTTATAAATTTCTAATAACTCCAAAGTACGTACCACAGCGGCCCTTGAACTTCAGTCTCTGCACGACTGAAAGCTTGATCCCTAAACCCTAAACCCTAAACCCCTTGATCCCCAGAGCTAGCCATGGGTCCGTTGAGGAAGCAAAGCAACGTAATCAGCGGCGACAGGGTGCCTCAGATCACAGGTGACATGAACTATTTGGGGGATTCCTATAATTAGGGGTACCTTATTGGGGGTCCCCATAACAAGGATTATAGTATCTTGGGGTCTATACTGGGGTCCCCTTATTTTGGGAAACTACCATTTTTCAAGATGCTACAAGATAACAGGCTCTTACATGAGCTAAGTCATAGGCTTCGTTAAGGAATGTAGAGGACCAATGCAGTCAGGAGCCGCAAAGTTTGGGCGGCAGAAGAATTCCGGCTTAGGCAGGCGTCCTCTTCCCCTGATACAGGGGCTCCTTTCTGTACCGCGCCCTGCCGTCACCCAATAGTACAACTCCCCAATCCCCCACATGAAAATACATGTCCGCATTATGTTCTGACACAGTCTGATACACTAAGTGGGAACATGTACTATTCGAGATCTTTTGGTCCTTTACTATGCGGCGGGGAGAGGGGATTCATGCAGATCGCGAAGCAGTGCAATCGTTACTGCCCCCTTGGCAGGCCAAGGGGCAAAGGACTAGGCCGGTCACGGCCATCAACGTGTGCCGGGCGCTGCGGGAGCCCATACCTGGCAGAGCTTTGGGGGTTTAGGGTTTAGGGGTTCAGGAGGGGGGCAAAGGCGTGGGTTTAGAATCCAAGGTCTAGGGTCTAGTCTAGGGCTCAGGATTTAGAGTTTCTTGCTCTGGCAAGGGGTTATTTACAGGGACAATGACATGGAGAAATGATGCCTGCTATCGGGCTGAGCCTGAGTAAGTTTTAAGGTTCAGGGGCGTTCAATACAGCAAGGCCTATGCTTTGGTTTAGCTTAGGGGTTGAAGGCTGCGGAGGCAACCCGGAACCCTAAAGCCTAGACTCTAGACCCCGAAACCTAGAGGCTGAAACTTAGACCTGGATGGTTTGTGTCTTTTCGATTCAGAACTTTCTGTTTGTAGGTTTGGGGCTCTGGGGGGGGTCTGGGTTCGATGTTCTCTCTCTCCTTACTACAGCCCCATTTATGCTACATGTCCCAACATGATACCCTTGCATTCTAAGGGCAATATGCATGAAGAGGGGCGTGGGTGGCTGTTGTTTCCGAAACTGCTTCTACCACTTCAACGGGTCCATATGATGGGCTACTGTAGAGCATCAGAAAGTAAAAGAAAACAGGCAAGACGTTCTTCGCCTACGTAGGCTCTCCACCTTGACGCCTCAAACCTCTCAGGCCTAACGCGCCATCACTTCAAACCCTAAACTCCCAAGCCTCCAGCCCCAAATCCTATAGCCCAACGCCAAGCCCTAGCCCCAAACCCCCGGGCCCAGACCCTAAACCCTAAACACCCTAAACCCCAAATGCATTTTCCACTGAAAAATTCCAGATTATTTTTCAATTAAAAAAATTATCTGAGCCCAGTGGCCCTAAACCCTAAAACCCTAAAAACCCCTAAACCCTAAGCCCCCCTAGACTCCAAATGGACAAGTCTCTCTCTTCTGCCCTTAACCCCTGAACCCCAAAACCCCAAAACCCCTAAACCCTAACTAAACCCCTAAACCCTAAACCCCTAAACCCGAAACCCCTAACCCCTAAACCCTAGCCCAGTGGCCGTAGTAGTCCTGGTCCTCGGGCTCCGCTCTTTCCCGAGCTTTATCGTCCGAGCACACCTGCTCCGAAGGAGCAGATGTTGGTGATAGCCCATGTGAGCTATCATAAGGGATTATAGGTTATATAGGGTTTAGGGTTTAGGGTCTGAGCTCCTTAAAGGGTTTTTTTATAGGGGATTATAAAGGGGACTACTATGGGGGTTACTAAGGGGGATACATGGAATGCAGACTATGACTCATGTGCTCTTGCACCCTGCGCTCCTCACTTTGGCTCCTCTACTTCCAGAGCCACAGAGCCCTCCACTGATCCTATAACCATCCTCAACCAGTAGCGTAGTTTAGGGTTTAGGGATAAGAGTTTAGGGGTTTAGGATGCTGCTTGCTGGAACTTCGAGTGGGCCTGGCTTTTTTGTTGGGATATCCACGTTGTCTAACTAAGCTAGAAAGGATCGAGCTCCAGAACCTAAAGCCTGTACTTGCGGGTTTCAAGTTTTTAGGGTTAAGGGTTTAGGGCTTAACGTTTGGGGTTTATAGTCTAGGGTTTAGGGCTCAGGGTTTAGGGCTTAACCTCAGGCCCTACGTAAGGATTCAAATCTGTAAGAAATGGTTGTGTGTGAACTGCCCTGTTACTGCTACGCAGGTGGTGCTTAGGAATGGGAGTTTATAGGATCCAGGCTGAGGATTCCAAGTTCAGGCCTTAATGGTCCAATGTCCGGATTCAGGACCTGGGTTTAGGTTTAAGGTTCAGGGCCTGTGTCTTGGGAGGCTTACGCAAAAAATGCCGGTTTGGAGATCAGGCTTCCGTTAGGACTTAGGGATCACGACCGGTGAAGTCACAGTAAGTACAAGGCCTGAAAACAAGCCATGTGGAAAGTTGGTTCTATCCATTTCAGGCACCATCTGGGGGTGAGGTCAGGCGGGGTCGACGCAGCTTGCACAGTCCTGCAAGTGGTGCCCTGAGGCTGAGGGACCACGCATCCAAATCATGGTGCTGCAGGTCCCAAAGTCCATGATCTGAATCGTTTTTGGATCTTTCCTGGCAGCATTTGTATAACCGTATCATCACATTATTAATCTTCTCTTTTGCGTCCAGAGCCCCATGAAGACGCTACTTGAAAAGTATCGCTGTGACAATTGATACAACCCACCTGATAGTCATAACGAGCATGCCTAGGCTTATGACAGCTGACACTACGATTGCTGCCTCTTTGAACTAGGTCATTCTTAGAATCAGTATGTTTTGTCATGTCATCCAGGCCTTCCGGTACCCCAGGTATTTGGCCAGGTTCACGTATCGAAGCATGTTCATGTAGTGGGTTCCCCACCTCATCTGCGTGGCGTTGCGGTGTTGAACTAAACGAGACAACATCTGCTTAATTGGAATAAATGCAAGCACATGGATGACATAATCTTACTGCGTATCTATCCTGGCTTAAACCGCTACTCAACTCGACCTTCGACTTTGGGCTTCGTGACGAAGCGTGGCACGCGTCTGAATGAAACATGTGGGGAGCTGCTGTAGGGCCCAGGGTTGGGAGCCAGTCCTGCTGTACGTTCGGAACCCAAATCACATGGCAGTTTAGGGTTTAGGGCTTAGGGAATCCAAAAAATGCTACAAGTTTGAGGATATCACACACACATGTAGCCGTGGAGGTATACTGAACGTCTTGTTTTCGAGCTCGGCCTTGCAGCCTAGGGTTTGGGGTTGAGGGTTTTGGGTTTAGGGATGCTAACCATGCGCTCAAGATGGTGCCACTTTACACGCTGCCGAACTTACATGGAATCCCCAGAAGAGCCCAAAACCCTGAATCCTAAACCATAAATCCCAAGCCCTACGCCGTATATCCTAAACCCTAAGCCCTAAACCCTGATGGGCTTGGGGAGGGTATGCTTTTTGTATCTCTTGGTAGGGCCCTCCCCATACTCCCAATTAGGGGGAGGGTTTAGGGTTAGACACCCCCCACCCTCCCCCTAATATTAAATTTGCCCAATATATTATAAGACACCACAGTGGGGAATATCTAATAGTAGGGGGGGTGGAGGGTTTAATATTAGCGGGAGGGGATTAACCCATCCATATACCGCAAATGGCCTTCCAGAAAAAAAGTTCACCCCTGTTTCAGACCCCCAAACATATTGTAATCCTGATGATGAGGAGTCCCGATCGTACTCACTGTGCGAGAGAATGTTGACAAAAATGGGGTCCTCTCTCTGTATTCATCTTTCTCGCCCCCCAACACCTGTATAGTTAGTTATCGAATCTGTTGCCCCCAAAAAGAAGCCCATTCTTTGTGAAAAGTCCCCAAGATACAACCTGGTACTCCCCAACCTCCCCCCTCCCTTGGGAAGCTTGTACATGCTGCAGCCAGGCAGCTGCACGGGGATGTAGTTTAGGTAGAAGTGCGTGGCCGTGGGCAACGACGAAGCCAGGAGAGGGAAGATGGACGTTGGGTTCTGACACGGGGGGTTCATCGGATCAAGGTCTCGCTTATTGGAATAGTACTGCTAGCTTCGAATTCCGCCTTACATTTCAACATAGCACGACTTAGAACAAACGAATCCAACAGTGACCCGGTTCAGCGTGCGTCTTTTCGGGTGGGCAAGTGTTGGTCGTGTACAGCCATCATGAAGGTAGCTACAGGGCTGCAGACCCCGAAGGTAGCTACAGGGCTACAGGGTTACACATCCCATGGCACAGATGTTAGGGAATTGAAGAAGACTCTGCTATTGATCGACATCGAAGACAAGCAGTTCATACAAGGAGTACATAAGCGGTATATAGAGTAGCCAGGTGCAATTCCATGAAGGGTACATACTGCTTATGCAAGGTCTCTATGTGACTCTCCTCCCGTGATTGCCGTGGATCTCCTGTTTGGAGGAGTAGAATTCAACACTAGGCACTCTTAATGCCAAGCATGTAATGGGGGCGACACTGGCGCAAACAGCCACGAGAACACACCCTTGTTGTCCAAGTGTCCAAATAATCGTTCTGTAGGTCTCCAACACTATGATTTGAATGGCTTTTGATACCTAAAACCCTAAATTTTAGGTCTTTGGGCCTAGAGGGGCTCCATCATTTTCTGCTACATCGTTGGGGCCACCAGCCAGCAGCAATCACTAAATCGGGCTTTAAGGCTCTAGGCCAACCTATCCCTAAAAGCTCAAACCTAAACCACAGAACTCGACCCCACGGGACAAGAGCTCAGGCCGTGCATCAGTTTGTACCCGGGCCGTCCTAGGTATGTCTTTCTTTTCTTTTTTTTTGTGTGTGTGTGTGTGTCTCTCATGGGAATTGCCCAAAATGTTCGCTATGTAAGCCCAACCCACACCCTTCCCCAAACTCCCGGGACCCTCATATGTAGGACCCCCATCTAGAAACACATATCGAATCGTCAAAAGGCCCGTTGCGGCTGAGAGACCTCAATCAGCTGTTGAGCACGGTCCCAAAGGGAAGTTCCAACTGCTGTCCTGGTTCGTTTATTCTCTGGTTCCTAGTAAGGAATAAGGGAATATACCCCCTGTGTAATCCCCATATACCATATTGACTTATTCGTTGAAGGTGCACAGTTTAGGCTTCAGGCTTCAGGCTTCAGCGTAGTTTAAGGTGGAGAGTTCATAGCTGTACCTGCTGAATCTACTTGCAACATCCTTGAATCAATCTGCGATGCCGAACACAGAAGTCGAAAACCCTAAACCCTAAACCCTAAGCCCTAAACCCTACACGCTACACCGCCCAGACTTCAAGGCAAAGGTTGCGTGGCGGGGGCGCGGGGGCTGATTAGAACTTCATGTGGTTGGTGTTCACTGGTAGTGAAGCTAAGAAACATTGCGGCCTTCTCATAGGAGATTAACCAGAAATAGGATGTTATATTCTTACTCTGTATCAAGGACTTAACTCATATTACCATAATGGGTATACATAGCAAAAAAGAAGGTTTCCCCATATTATAGTAAGTTGAATGAAGTCCACCCAACCGTACAGCTGTTGCATGTAGAGGGCTATCTAAGTCACAAATACAAAGGTTTGAGGAGGGAGCGTACTACGTATATTTCTATGAGGGTTATGTGGGGATAATATTGGTGAAGTCTACATGGGGGCGTGGGGAAGTTAAAGTTTGGGCGGGAAATCTTCCAACCAGAAACCCTAAACCCTAAACCCCAAACCCTGTGGAACACAACTTCGAAATTGTGGGCCCGCCGCTCCCTGCCCCTCTTACTTGCCTGGCTCATGCGAAACAAGACACCCACAAGTGAACCGCATCTCGGCAAGTAACCACCAATGTAGGATTGCCAAAATATGAGGAAGCCCTGTATGGCAGTCCTTCTAGAAGTGTATTGTAACCCAATTCCGTACATGGTGATTTGTGCGGCCAAGTTGCACCAGCAACACGAACACAACCTTAGGAACAACAGTTTGACTCACATAGCGGTGTCTGGCAATAGCATTTTGATTGGAGCACATGCTTCTACGCGGAGTACTGTGCACAGACGATCTTTTCGTTGTCCTTTACAAAGCTATCGCTCATTTGGAGGACTACAGGGTCGTATGTGCCCAAGGTTTTGTTTGAGGTGCCTGCTGCAATGGAAGATGGAAGAAGTGCTTGACTAACAGCTCCCAGCCCATAAGCACCTAGAAGCACCGTTGGAACGCACAACCCCAAACAAACATGGAGCCCCCAAAAATGCTTTACAAGAACAATACAGGGGGTATGTCCGTATAGGGATGTATAAGGTTCAGAGGCTTTAAGTACGCAATTCCCCGCTTCCTCTGCTAGTGCTCCTGGCATCCGCCTCTCCCCTGGTTGGTCTGCACCACCAGTGGTACTCCAAACAACAATACTCACTGGTGCCAGGGAAGAAGGACTGGGTTGGAGGGCCATGCATTCAGAGACTATGGAACTAGACCCCTCCCCTGCCCCCCGCGCGCATATGTCCGGAAGCGATACTTGGAGGTTCATGGGCAGTCATGAGTAGCATAATGGTTAGAATAAGAGCTAGGGCTCTGGCTATACTCGCAATTTGGGTACTTACTGGGTACTTACAACCCTCTGTATAACAACTGATGAACCTCCAAATAACACTGGCCGTGGTCGTGGTGATGGTGGCTGAACTCCCAAACGCTAAATGCAAACAGGAAATTAGGGAGACCAAGAGAAGAAATGGAACTGCAAAAGTCTCTATTAATTAGGCGTGTTTTGTCGTTTTTTCGGAAGGGGGGGTGCCTCTTCTAAGTCTATAAGGATAACATCTGTTGGATTATCAGCAACACTCCCCCCCCATGTCTGGAAACCCAAATTCCCAGCGACAGCTCAGGTCGAGACCCTTCCAGGCTAGTAACCATGTTACAATAAGGAGGGTTTAGGCTTTAGGGTTTAGGGTCTTGTGGTTCTGTTTATAAAGGAACCCAGAAATCAAAAAGCGTCAAAACGGTATCACTGGGCTTCTTACTGGCCAGAAAGTCGACATTCAAAACCCTACCCAAAACCCCAAACCACGTGGCAAAAGCTCAGGCCATGACCAGAAAGTAGAAGTACCACTGCTGGATGTAGTGCTGCTCCCAGGCATCCGCCTCACCGGAATTATAGTCCCCCTTAAGTAGATAGAATGTGGGGTATATGGGGATCTTATTATAATATACCCACAGCCAGAATTTATTTACTTAAGGGGGACTATAGGGTTCAGGGTTTGACCCCACTCTGGTGTTTTCTAGATTTCTCTTACGGAGCTTAATCATCTAAGTTACCGTAATAGAGCTATGCAGTAAGCAACAGGGTTGTCTAACTGCGGAATTTGTTTAGGTTCCTTAACAGCAAACCAGTTTCAGGAATCATGGGGTTATGTTGTATGGGACAATTGAGCGGTTCGGGCTCGATTCCGCACTTCCATGTTCCATGTCGAACGCTGAGATGCAGGTGAGCTTCCATACCAGAATTCGGCGATCAGCGGTGCTCGGGCTGAGCCATGCACGAACCCTCATACAACCCCAATATGACTCTAACAGAACCCTAATACAACCCCAATGTAATAACCCGAATATAACCCCAATATACCCCCTTTTGTAACCCTGATATTATCCAAACCCTAAACCCTAAACCCTCAGAAAAAATTGCTACAAAAGCTGGGAGCCCAATACCCCCTAGTTAAGGAATATAAATATAGGGGTTATATAAGGGTTATATAAGGGTTATATAAGGGTTATACAGGGGTTATATAGGGGTTATACAAGGGTTATATAAGGGTTATATAGAGTTTTTAAGGGTTATATCAGGGTTATATAGGGGTGTTTAAGGGTTATATAAGGGTTATATAAAGGTTATATACAGTAGGGGTTTATAAGGGTTATATAAGGGTTACAGAAGGGTTTATAGGGGTTATATAGCGGAATATAGAGGTTATATACCCCTCAATTAAGGAATATGGCTTAAATCATATTAGGGACACTAATACCATTTAGGGCATATTTCTTAATTCAAGGCTATTGGGTTCTCTAGGAACCCAGAGATCATTAAAATCAACACCTTCCGGATAGGTCGTTAACTCAGGGGTATTGGGCTCTCTGGGAACCCAGAAATGCTTCAAATCCAAACCTGCCGGATAGGGCCTTGAGGGAGAAGCAGTAGCTGAAGATGATCACCTGCAGCTGCTTGGAACCAGCTTAGGCTTTAGGATCTTACACGTGGGGCCTAAGGTCGATGTTGAGTTTGCGCAGTTTGTGGATTGTTGAAGTTGGGGTTCAAGGCTTTCAGCTGCAGGTAAGGGGCTTTCGTATGTTGCAAGGCTATGGTCAAAATTTGGGAATGCATGTCGTTGGGTAACCACTTCAACGGAAACCGTGGTAAATGTACTTAGCAGCCACAATGCAGTAACAAAATCAAGGATAGATGTTATTAGCAGCAATCTGGCCACAGGCGTGTAGCTGGAAAAATGGCGCCAGCAATATGAACACGGAGGAACCAAGAACAAAAAATGAGAAAGTAATCACAGCCAGTAACAGCTTTGTTGACATCATGCGAGCCAACAGAGGCAAACAAGGGAGTATTTGTGACATGCAAAGTTGTCGATGGGGGGATTTGGAGTCCAGCATTCAGCCACTGAACTGAACAAGAAATCTCGAGACAGCGAAACAATTCCAGGGGTGGCGCTCACCGGTCGCAGCCTAGGGTTTAGGGTTTAGGCTTCTGCGATTGATGAACTTTTTTTTTCGCATCTAGGTGTGTAAGAACAGCTTCCTTCGGTGCATAAGGGAAGCTTGCAGCGAAGAAACATTCACGTGATGACCACCAATCGGGACTCAAAAGAAGATGGCTATATAGAATATACTTGGGACCCAGGTAGTCACATTGGAGCCCCTCTTGGGTACCAAGAAATACCCTGAAACCTAAACCTACATGTATATATATATATGTATATACATGCAGATACATATACAATATACCTACGTGGACGCCTTGGGATGCAAGGTAACTGGGGAG